CTCGATGACCAACAAACAGATTAGGCTACTATGTTTACAAAATTACAGTGTTTACAAAACTGACAAGAATACGTTTTCTATGTGCTTGTGTACAAATAATTGTTTCTTTTCTATGTGGTTTCCTCAAAAAAGCACATCCATCTCCTGGTTTTTGTTTCCCGTCTAATCTCTCTCCTATATGTGCCGGCTCATTAATATTCAACATACGATTACCATACTGGGCTGAAATGCGAATTTAAAAAGTACTAGTATTTATTAAGTTCAGGATATCTCTGGCCTAAAAAGTTACTAGTAACTAAAAAATAAAGTACTAGTTATATTTTTTTCTTAAGAAGAGTATAATTAAATACTTGGCACTATTGGAATAAGCACAGTATCTAATGATTAAGTAGTACCTAATGAATAAGTACTAGTAACTTTACAAAAGACACTAGTAGCTGAAGAATAAACACTAGTGCTTAAAGAATAAGCAATAGTAGCTAAAGAATAAACGCTAGTACCTAATGGAAAATATACTGGTATCTAAATATATATGTATACACACACACACACACACACACCATGAAAATATATACTAGTACGGTTTATAGATTAAATGTTAAACCGGCTTTCCATAACCACTTAGCTTAAATAAAAACTCACGTTTTCAGAGAACAAAGCCATTACGGTTTAAGCGCTGAAGAGCTCTTTAAAAGATAACATGGGTGGCTCTTAAAAGAGCCTTTGGGTTCGTGGATCAGCTGAAACTCTACTTGGAGCTGGTGTATTTGGTGACGGCCTTGGTGCCTCAGACACGGCGTGCTTGGCCAGCTCTCCGGGCAGCAGCAGACGCACGGCGGTCTGGATCTCTCTCGAGCTGATGGTGGAGCGCTTGTTGTAGTGAGCGAGACGAGACGACTCACCGGCGATGCGCTCGAAAATGTCGTTGACGAAACAATTTTTAGAGGTTTTAACAATTAATGAAGCATTGCGGATTTCATTAACCTTGAAACAAATATTTACTTTGATGTAAGGGTAACCTCCTGTGTATTATTTGAAGTTGACATTTTATGTGTAATTTTCCAAGTTTCTTCATTTTCACGTGTTGTGAGGATTTGCAGCCATTTCTTCATTTTCACGTGTTGTGAGGATTTGCAGCGCGCTTCTTTATTTGCATGAGCTGTGAGAATTTGCAGCGCGTTTCTTCATTTGCATGAGCTGTGAGGATTTGCAGCGCGTTTCTTCATTTGCATGAGCTGTGAGGATTTGCAGCGCGTTTCTTCATTTTCACGTGTTGTGAGGATTTGCAGCAAGTTTCTTCATTTTCACGTGTTGTGAGGATTTGCAGCCATTTCTTCATTTTCACGTGTTGTGAGGATTTGCAGCGCGCTTCTTCATTTGCATGAGCTGTGAGAATTTGCAGCGCGTTTCTTCATTTGCATGAGCTGTGAGGTTAACTTGCAGCGCGTTTACTCTCGGCCACCGTACAAAACTCAACTTTTGTAAACAAATTAAAAGTTATGTTATGTATTATATTATGTAGTAAATTATATTCAGAAACGTGTTCTTTGTGTGAAATCGTGTGTGTCTCTTAAAAGAGCCGCTGGGGTTGTGTTTTCTCCAGGAACCGCTTAGCATCCGAATCCGTACAGAGTGCGTCCCTGTCGCTTCAGAGCATACACCACATCCATGGCGCTGACGGTCTTTCTTTTAGCGCTCAGTGTAGGGCACAGCATCTCGAATCACGCTCTCCAGAAACGGGCGTTTATATTTCTCTAAAGGACCTAGGTGAAACCACAATAATGGGCGGTTCTGCTAAACGTCACCCGTTACGTCTAATCCGAGTCCAGTGTCTTCCAATGTTCGATTGTAGTAGTGATGCCCTGGATGTTATCCCGGAGGACCTTTCGGTGGCGCTTAGGCCTCCTTTACTGAGACCTTTACCGCCTTTTCCTCTTCCGGACATCTCAACTACAATCTTCTAAACCAGTGTTTCCCAACCAGGGTGCCGTGTAAAAAATCCTTTTTTAATATTTTTAAATTGCTAAAATATTCAAA